TCATGGTTTGGATGTAAACAGCAAGCCATGGACAGCATTATGGTTTGGAGGTCCTTTGACAAGTCTAGAACCACTCTAATTTTGCATACTGTGACATCAAGGACTATGAAGAAAGTCAAAGAGATTGAACAGATTACAGGAGGAGATCGGGAGAGTGTAAAGTCGAAACTTGTCCATATTTAAAAATAATATCCTTGGAGGAGGTTCTACAACAACATCATTCAGCATCATACATTGACGCTATCACATGCTGCATACTGTCTATATTCCCCAAAAAACAAAGCAGGAAAATTATATCATAAGTTCAAATAAATTGATGATGATATCCTCTTAGGGGCCATTCACTTATTACGTAACGCTTTTAGTGGGGGAGGGGGGTCTAAGATTTTGTTACGGTTCAAACAAGGAAATTTTTTTTTCATACAAATTTTTTTACGAGGGGGGGGGGGGGGGGTCTAAAAAGTCATTTTTTCGCGTTACGTAATAAGTGAACAGCCCCTTACATATTATACATATTTTTTATGTTTCTAAAAATAAAAGTAAAATGATATATACGACACAACATTAAGGATCTATGCCATTCAACATTTGTAATATTCTCTTTTTCCCCATCTCGATAATAAGAAGAATGAATGGCAGTAAAAAATCAAGAAACATTTTGTTCCCACCCACTTCCTTCTCATCGCAACATTTTTTTATTATTATTATTTTTCAATTCAATGGAGATGAAAGTCGAAACATGTAATTTTTTTAATGATATCGACAGATAGTGAAGGGATAAAATGAAATAAAATAAGATAAAACTTTAAACAAAAAAGAGGAAAATTCCAATAAAATGCCAAAGGGGGGTAACAGCTTGTTGTAAAAAATTTTTGTATTTTTTTACTGTATTAAAGCTTTGATGATGGTTTTCAGCAGATTATATACTTTGCAGGGGGAGAACAACTCTACGGACCAAAACATAGAACAGTACAAAATGCTCTACAAGTTGTTTCCCCCTTGAAGAGCCATTGTTGTCTAACCAAAGTTACATAATTGAGCAAACTTAAAATTGATTGGATTAAAGATTTTTCTCCAAGCTATTTCCCCCCTGTGCCTGTGAAATGCATTGAAAGAAATCGAGTGGAAGAGGAAAAGACAACGAATGGAATCGGTAAATTGAAAGTGAGATGAGGAATTCGAAAGCAACAGCAAAACTTGAGCACACCGAGAAATCCTTTTCTTTTCCCATTCCGGAATGTATCTCAGTGGCGTTGAAAACTTTTATTCTCATTCTGTTGTTTGTTCTTCTTTCTGCTGTTCTGCTTTTATTTAGTTTTTTTTTCATCCCTTTCCTCGATAGTTGTTCATGTTGTTGAATTGAACCATAGCTGTAGAGTATTTCGCATAAAAGTTTTATCAATACCAGTTGGACAAAGCCAGCTTGAGAGTCGAAACAAGGCAATGTGTGTTATAACACATGAGATAATAGGACGAAGAAGAATAAGAAGTAAGCAAAAGTTGAGAGAAAGTCAATGAATAAAGCGAATGTCATTTGCTGGGACAAATTGCGGTGTTTGTGGTTTGAATTAAATTTTGCAGCATTGAAAGGATTAATGGAGACGGCAATGTAGACGATGCGAGTCATTAACCTTTAGAATTATTACAATGTGTACTCGTTACAGCTATTTTCTGGTTATTGGTCGATTAACAGACGAGAAAAGGAAGCACAATCATTAATAATTTGAAAGTTGTCAACTTAATGCTGCTGTCTGATAATTGTCATTTGTTGATTTATATTTGTTTGTCATTGACTGAATTGTTTTGGAATTAATATTGAGTTTTAAAAAGGATGTGATTAGCTGAGGTTAATTTCTAAGGATAATAGCGCACCTTAGCTTAGTCATATTTGAATTTTAAGTATATTTCAACGAGAAGTGCATCGATTTCTGATTTTAAACCAAAATGTTACAGCAAGCCCAAGAAACAGTCCCCAGAACGTAGTTTAAAAATTATTGAGAAGGACTTCAACATTGAATCCAATATTGACAATGGTAGGATTTGAACCGACGATTTTGAAGCTCATACACCAAATTAAAGTCAAGTCAACAACTGATTACTCCACAGAAGCACTTAATTGCTTTAATAAGACTTAGCTGTATGTAAAACTCAATTGACTTTTGGAATTATCTTGAATCCACGAATTACAAACATTTATTAAATTTAATAACATCAAAAATTGCCATAAGCTCCCAAAAAACTCGATCCAATCAAAAATCAGAAACTATTCTCGAAAAATCTCTCAGTTAAAGCTTCAACATAGCAAATTTTATAAGCCTATTATTTCTGTACTCATCTTAAGAGCATTATATTTAGAATATGTTGATGGAAAATTCCATGAAAATTGAAAATAAATCCTCTGCGAAATGTTGGCTTATTTTGAATGTATGAACTGTGTAGATTGATTCTGGCGAAGTCAAAGACATGACATTTTGCAGAAGCTCTCATGGAATTCAAATGTATTCTCATGTTGACAATCCTCAATGCGAGCATTGTCAATTCTACTTATCTGATTTTCCACGAATTTCACTTCAATATGCTTACAACTTCAATGTAACTTTCTATTAAAAGCTAGTCAGTACAATCTCGATACAAAAAGTAATGAACCAACTGGCCAAAGTGATAATCACACGAGAAATACACGACGGAAAAGTGCAAAAAAGAGAAAAAACGAAAAAAAGTTGTTTATACTGCATGTGCTGCTATAACTGATGCTACAATGTAAGATATGAAATAGGGAAAAAATTATACATAGGTCCCTATTGTTTCCATTCGTCTACTTATATTTTTTTTATCTTTCACTCCATCTCACTTTCTCACTCAGCTCTCTATATTTGTGGATGTTGAAGGAGAACAGAGACAGAGAAATAGAGAATAAGAAGCTTTGTAATTATGTTTCATTTTATGACTCTCACATCCTACGTGACTATAAATATGTTTTCAGCTATGCTCTGCTTCCTTTAACTGATCTAATCTTCTCACCCTTCTTTCGTATATGCACACACTATGGAACAACATCATATGAGTAAGTATTACTTCCTTTTCTTGGATTCTGGGGTGGAATTAGGAGGTTTTTGGAAGTTCTTGCTGGGATTTAATTTTTTTAAGTCCCAAAACTTAGATCTTGGAATTCTTGTGAAATCTTCTGTTATTCATACATTTTAAACAGTGGTGGTCAACCTATGTGCCGCGACACGCTTGATTCCGGCGAAAAAATTCCAACAGGGCCTATAAACCATGTACTGTGATCATGGCTTAACACTAATGATGTGCCGTGGCACAAAAAAAGGTTGCCAAGCACTGATTTAAACAGAGCTCGAGTTAAGCTGGTAAAGAAATCTTGAAGAACTGATGAGCCAACCCCTAAGTACATCCCTGCTCAACATTCAACTCATTCTCATTCTGATACGTATTTTTCTTACTGGTTATTATTATTTTCCTTACACATTTAGATACCTACGATATCTAACTTGTATATGGATAGAGCATTATTAAAGATATATACATAGGAAAAAATTATCAAGTGAACGTACATGTTTGTGAACTAGATTCTACTTTCAAAAACTATCTAATTTACGAAGGCATGAAAATTATAGCATATTTCTTCCTCGTACATTTCATACATATAATATGCCAAAAAAGGAAAAAAAAAAGGAAGCACAAAAAAAATGTATGAACACGATGATGTTTATGATGATAGTGGTTAAAGCATGCCATCGAGGAAAATATATGGATGTTTGGAGCAATGAGGGCAAAGAAATGTAAGTAAAAAAGCACTTTACATTGCACATTTTTTTTTCAAATTGAAAATTCACATTTTTCATGAGAGAATAATCTTGAAATGTATCTGCATCAAAGAGTCTATAGTGAATGAAGTTCTTTATGGTAAACAAAAAAAAATGTAGGTCGTATGGGAAATGGAGTGGAACAAAAGGTAACAAAAGCAGATGTTTCGTAATTTGAGTGGATTAAATTGAAGTTTAAGGATTTGTAGTGGAATTGATGAAAAACGGGAAGTTAGGCATTGCTGTTTTGGATACGTAAATATAGAAACTGTGTTGTCAGAGCAGATTAGAATCTGAGATATCAAGCAATATAAAGGCGAATCTGCAAGTGCGAGGATTAGGCCTCTGTAGCGCGATTGGATATGCAACAGATCAAATATCTATAAGCCTCTTCTGTATTTTGAAGACGTGAGTTCGATTCCCGCCACAGATCGATCTGTCATTACATTAAGTGGTGTCTTTTGTGGATGTTTTGCAAGAAGCTACCCTACCCTAGCTACACCACATACCCAAGAAAATAACAGACAATATTGTAGATACTTCTTAAGAACCAAAGAAGCCAACTGACAAGGAAGCCAACCATAAGACTCAAAACATAAATTGATACTTAAATAAATAGAAGAAATGAAAATATTCCAAACAAAATTAATCTCCAGCACTCATCATCATTACTCCTATTTTCGTAAATGTCAGTCAGACATGTCTTGTGCTTTAATTTAATATTTCAATAAAAATGAGTGTTAAAATTGCTATCATTCCTCATCATTCATATCCACCATTCACAATGGAAGCAATAAAACTTTATTATACGAAATCCTTCAGCCCATCGGCATGTAGTTAACAGCCACACACAAAAAAGTGAAATAAATAATAACGATAATAATGAGACGATGAAAACTTTTTTTTGTGTATGTCCCGCATATTTTCATTGCTGTTCTCTTATCATTGCCGTTATTATGATGATGATTGTGGAGCTTAACATTTTTTCACACATTCACAATTTTGAGTATTATTCAATTATTATGTTCCGCACATACAAACTCACATGAAACTTAATTGAATTACACGTCAGTTCTTTCAATAACCTCATGCATATCCAACATATACGCACAGCGTAATGCTATTTTATAAGGATAATTTCATTATGTTTTTTTTGGATCTTTCAACAATTCTCACCTCATCAAATATTTCCACATCATAAGTATTGTCGTCATCTGCAAAATACAGCACACCCTCCGTTGCGTTCGCCCTTATCCATTCAAGGGCGCGATTTCTGTTACTCACACCGCGTGGTTTCACTTTATTTTTTCGATATTTTTCAGGCATTGGGGCTGTTTATGGATAAAGAAGAGAAAATGAATAAAGAAAGTTATTATAAGCATGAAGCAATTGAATGGGAATGATGTTGCATAAAACAAGACATAACTGTGATTTTCTTTCTCTTTAGTGATACACAAAGGTAGGAGTTGTGGGCAGTTGAGGTCAATTGATGAAGAAGAGCACCTCCTTGTTCCCTAATTTAATTTGGTTTCTATTTCAATATTCCAAGAATCCTCAAATTTGAGATTTTGTGTCTCTTTAGGCTTTATATCCCTGGCAGTGATCTAGGGCGACTTTTTCTATTAGTTTGCTACTGCCTGGGTCCATTGCTTAAGTCACAACATTCTTTTTACTGTAAATCGACTGATTTCTGTCATATCTATTGATTCTACGAAGTTTTACACAGGTAAACGGTCATTCTACCTCTAATCCCACTTTAATATTAGAAGCCATAAGTTCAAAATCCCTTTAGATGGGATCAACCATAAGTAATGTCAAATATTTAAAAAGTTGGAAATCTTAGTTATTTTTACACATCCATAATTGTCACAGACGATGAAATTTTTCTAAAAATCCAATTATTTGATTTACATCATTTATGAACAACCCCCAAGCGAATTAAGAGGTAAGTAGGGGAGAGTAACATGGGAATAAAGAAAACCACAAGGGCGTCGAAATAATGCGAGAGAAAAAAAGAAAAACTTTTTTTGTTCATTTCCTTTTTATGCCTTTTTGTAATTAGAGGTTCCAAATGAAAAGCTCTTGCTGCTAAGTTTTTTTATAGACTTTTTCTGAATCATTCATGGCTTTTTTTTCAAAGGAGGCATCAGGAGTTGGGGATCAATTCATTATTATTTTATCGACATTCTGGTGAGGCTATGGAAATGAGAATTCTTTTGGATAAATTACAAATTACAGGTTATATGTTAATACTATTTTTTGAGGGAGGGTTTTTGTGCAATTTGTGGATGAATATTAAGGATAATGAGCAATTGACTGTTGGAAAGTTTTTGGGGTTTTTGTCGATTATCCCTGTGATTATATTAATCTTTTTATGAATTCTAATGAGAAGTCAAGGGAAATTGTTGATGACATTAAAAAAATGACTGGTTGTCTTAGGGGCCGTTCACTTATGACGTCCAACATTTAGAGATGAGGGGGGTCGAGTATTTTGTGGAAATTTGACAGATGGGGGGGGGGGGGGGTGGAGGTGGGTCTATTGTAATTGGGAAATTGTATTAAAGCTCATTCAATAGTTTTGCTCATCTAGAGGCTTGAAGATGAGCCCACAGCTCTGCTGCCAATTTGAAAAGAGTGAATCTCGAGCTGCCTGAGTCAGTTTGACAACAAGTCAAGTCTCGAGTTTGTCAAAAATCAGTCCTTTTACACTCTGAAGAGGAGCCTGGTCAATTCATCACGTTAATCCAGACAACCTGACTTTCCCATCGTAAAACTTTCACTTTTCCAAAATCCAATTCATTGTAAAATAAATCAATAAAAACAATTTAAAGGATATCCCGCCAATTAACAATTAAGGGGGCTTTTTCCTTTTGTAAGAGTGAAAGCAAACATAATAATAATAATAATAATAATAATTCTAGGAGAATAGAAAATATTTTCCGTGATTTTATATTAAGCAGAGCATGAAATCGACAAATTTACACCATCAATAAACGAAAGGCTCTAAACTCATTTTAATAAGCAAGATCACTCCCATCCGAATTTCAACAAAAAAGCAAGTCTAAAGCTCATAAATATTTAAAAAACCTCACGGATGGATGAAAAAAAAAGTTTGTGGGATCCCAAAAAACACGTAAACCACTCAACACAAAAACTTGACATTTTTTTCTCTTCATTCTGTTGGAACCAGCACTTTTGCCCACAACACAAACCAGCATGTTACTTAAAAGATTAGAAATCATTTTAAATGCCACATGTTTATAATTACCAAGTAAATGTGCAAACGGAATATTGAGTTTCAGAAGAAGTTTCGTAACTAATTGTGTCGTCTCCACGGCATCCTCGACAACAAGCCAAAAAATATTTGGAACATGCTTCAATGTGTATCCGAGTCGTGTTAATTCTGCCAACTGCTCTGGTCTCCTATATGTTGGTGTTATTATGTAGATTGGTGGTAGATTTGGCTGCAAAATATGAAATTAATTGATAGAGAATTTTTTTTTCGGTTAGTTTGAGTATCCAATTGGGATTATTGATTGCTTTTACATTGAGAGGGATGAAAAAATAAATATATATTGTGAAAAAAATAAACTTTTTTCGTATTGAGTCGTTCGCATGTGATGTGAGTCATTAAATTATTGACATTTAAGCGGAACTTTGATAGTTTTGACTTCATTTGGATCTGGAAATTAGTCGGGTAAGATATTTTGTAAGTCGAGACACAATGCAGCCCAAGACATGCAACCTTTAAGAGGTCAGTAAGTAATTAATAATCCAGAAACATAAACAGATTAAAATTCAAGATGCCAGGCATAGCCAACCTTTTTAAGTGACTTGGTACACCTTTGAGTCAATTTCTAAGGATAACCAAGGCACATAGTTAAGTCACAGTTGTAGACATCATTTGTGAACGACACCCTAATAAAAAAGTTTTTTAATTTTATTTTCACTACTGAACATTGGCTGATTTGAAATTCAAAATAAAGAACAAAAGAAAAAAAAGGAAAAATTTCCGAACAAGTTATTCGATTAGTTCCACTTCTTAGCACTTTTTTTCTAAACTTTTTTTTATCTCTTCTATTTTTTTCGCACAGAGTGTATGTGATAATAGCAGAACACTCATTGAGCTTATATAAATTTTGTATTTATGTATTATTCAATGCCATTATAGTCAAGTATAAAATTTATGCATTAATTTCTATTTAAAGTGCCATTTTATGCATGCATTTCACGATATCTAAGTGCTCTAATTTGCTGTTTCTCTATAAATGTGCAATTTATTGTGTGTCTGTTTCGTTCATTTATCAGCACCTATTCAGTTGTGATTTTCTTATTCACAAAAAAAAAAGAGGAAGGAATAGAAAAAAATATATGAAAATATTGCGGGAAGTGAGAATGTTCATGCAAAAATTCGATGAATCCGGTTCTTGGGGATACTAAGTTATGTGCTTTTTAGGATGGATTTGATGTAAGGGGGAAGAGTTGCTTAAGAATCAGCATTGAAGGTCAATTTTCAACCCTCATTTTCCTACACTCAATTCAGTACTCAAGGATTCCTACATGCACCCCCTATGTCAAGGGGGAAACAACAAGATGGGAAAATTTTTTATTCAGTATTTTCACCAGTTTTCAAGTAAATTCTGTAAAAAAAAACGATAAAATTTTCATTTGCCATCAAAACTTTTCCCACCACGTTGTTTCCCCCTTCCCTCCTACGTCAAGCTAATCACAAATTCATTAAGATTGATTCCAATTCTATTGCCAACCCAAAATTGGAACCAATTCAAATTAATTGGACTTTTTTATGCGTCAGAATCCCCAAAAAATTTGTCAATAAATTCCATTCAGTATAACAAATTGAGGTTACTGACTAGACCGCTTTAGAACACTCTCCATTGAGTCTTTTCCTGCATTGATCTATCCTTTTATATCAAATGCCAACATATTTTTTTTTGGCAGAGATCACAGCTCCACTAAATCGATTACATTTAAAAAAATCATTCTGCTAATAACTTTGTTGAAAATAAAATATTCGATTGTGTGATTTTGGCACCAGATAACGTATGTTGGGGATGAATGTGAATGGAGCTTTTTTGGGTATGATTTGAAAAAATTTCTAGACAAATTTTATTTTTTATTTGTTCATGTCGTAGGCGCCAGTGCTTATTTTTATTATTTAGTGGATGTGCTTTATAGATTTGAATTGAGATTGAATTTAAGGATATATTGGTGAATCGCTGTAAGGCTTCCAATGTGTTCACTCAGTAGAAATAATAGGGGCCTGGCCGTTTCCTTATAACGTCCAGGGAGAGGGGGGGGGGGGGGGGTCAGCAAGAAAAGAACAATAGGAATTCCTAAAAATCCATTGTTCTGATTTGAAAAATGACCGTTAATTTCGGACGTCATAAGTCAACAACCCCAAAGATTTCCATCATTTATTCACTTGATCGCTTAAAATTCCCATAATCCTGTTAATTTATAACCTAAAACCCATGCTTCGTGTACTTAATAAATCTCAGAATAACAGTACAATTCAAATACCGCGAAATATTATCATATTTTTTATTTAATTTTTTCAAATCCAAATAAAAGATATTCCTACATGTGCTCTTGATAATTCAGCCCAAGATTTATTGATAAATCCCTTCAATATATTATCTTTTAGCACATAACCAAAAATAGAAACCCAAGAGCATAAATAAACGGATATTTTTCATTTTTGCCTGTAGATCCTCATATTGAACATGCATGTACGAATTGCGAAACAGTTGAAAAGAAAAATATTAGAGAACACTCAACATACATACAATATAAAGCTATAAAATCAGATTCCTAAATTGTGTAGCTGAAAAAAATACATGAACACAAAAAAAAGGATGAAAAGGTGCTTGTTAAAGAAGGAAACGAAAATGTTGGTTGCATGCATCAAAATCCAATAATTTGAGGTGAACAATTCAGAGCTAGTTCTAAGTGTTTTAGCATTTTAACATTTATCTCGTGTCAAAATGATTGTACAATCACATCTATTGACTTGGATATTTATAGGATGACTTAGGGCATAAGAAGACGGAGAAGATAGTTTAAATTAAGATTGAAGGATTGTTGAAGTTTGAAGCGCATTTACTTACTAGCATTGTAGTAAATTTAATTAAGGAGGTGTCTAGCTAGACAATCTAAGGTTATGGCATCTATGACATGGTATCCTCAAATGTGTACCTAAAAAACCAGCCCTTAAACACCTACTTATGGCTATGTCACTGACTCTATCAATTCTAAAATATTCACAACATCCACCCCTTGTCCGACCTTTGCCATATCCTCAATAATAACACCGAAACTTATCCACAAACACTAAAAAAATGACAAATTCTTCTCAGACCACAGAACATAGAGCATCACTTCTACTAGAAATAATAATATCCAGTTCACGAATAATTCCAAACGTGTCTGAAATTTGCATCTAAATCTCATTATATTCGAATTTTCATGACAGTATGTGTGCTGTTCATGGATGAGATCTAAAACCCACTACTTTTGTTTGCTCTTGCTGACTGATGCTGCTCCTTCTATATGTGCCTTTTTTTATGCAATGCTGTATTTCCAACCGAAAAATTGGTGGAGAGACAATTTTTAAAAAAAGTCGGAGTGAGTCAGAAGGTTGATAGAAGGAAGAAAGAGTTCACCTTACCTGATTCTCATTCGACAGCGTCGTCGTTATGTTTGTTAGGCAAATTTGTAGAGGAACTGAATATGCTGTTGGAATTGTTTGGTGAACTGAGTAGTTGTTTTGTCTGACTGGAACGCGGTTGTGCATTTATTTTGATTTGATGCCAAAATTAACTTCTGATCCATTAAATGCGCTCTATGTCCACATGATATTTTCTAACTTGAATTTCTTTAATTTTCTCAATGCAATGAAAAATAACGCCCGATAAAGTTTGAAGATACGACATGAGAAACAATTTTCAGAAAATGGTTTTGGCCTCAACAGAAAAGGAAGATGAAGAAATATTTGTAGTTAAAAGACAGCATAACAGGAGCGGCAAGCAAGCCAAGCTGGCAAACAAACAGAAGTATTGCAAGTTGACGAGTACAACAAGCAGACATGAGACATTATAAAATAAAATGCAATTTTGGTGAATCCAATTTTCTTTATGTATACAAATATCTTGATTTTATGGTCATTAAATTGAAGCAATGGCATCACAACATAAGAGTATAAAAGGATGTAGAGACAGAGTAGAGTCATTGATATTGCATTTCGGAGATTAATTTTCATTGGAAAAATTTAATCGTTTTTCTCAAATGAGAAAATAGAAAATTGAAAAAAAAAATAAAGAGATAGACATACAGCTCAGTGGCATTGTCAATTCTATCCTTTTTTTGTTTATCTCATTATTTTTCATTTTCTATGAAATGCATACACATTGGTATTATTGTATTATTGCTACTGACGTCGAGTGTATTTGAATGAATTTCATAAAAATAAATTGTTATTCATAGCTTGACAATATTCAAAACGAGAAGCGAAATTTCAATTCTTATTCCTTTGTTTTAAAGAGTCAACAACAAAAGAATGAAAATTTGATAGGATGTTGTTGGTATAGGACGCTTTTTTGATGCTATTTGGATTAAGTAAGTTTAAAGAAGGTTCTTTGCATAAAGCGAACTCGTAGAAACTTCCCTGCATAAGGCGAATTCAAAGAAGCTTTTCTGGATAAGGCAAATTCAAAACAACTTTTTTGCACAAGGTGAGTTCATAAGAACTTCCTTGCATTTGGCGAATTCAAGTGAAGTTCTTTGTATAGGGCGAATTCGTAGGAACTTCCCTGCAAAAGGCAAATTCAAAACATCTTTTCTGCACAAGGTGAGTCCATAAGAGCTTCCTTGCATTTGGCAAATTCAAATAAAGTTCTTTGTATAGGGCGAATTCGTAGGAACTTCCCTGCATAAGGCAAATTCAAAGAAACTTTTCTGGATAAGGCAAATTTAAAACTATCTGGCATACGGTGAATTCATAGGAACTTCCTTGCATGAGGCGAATTCATAGGATCTTTCTTGCATAGGGCGAATTCATAGGAACTTCCTTGCATAGAGCGAATTTATAGGAACTTCCTTACATAAGGTGAGTTCATAGGAACTTTCTTGCACAAGGCGAATTCATAGGAACTTCCTTGCATGAGGCGAATTCATAAGAACCACACTTCAAAAAATAATAGCTCATCATCCTTAACTTAATCCTATTGTCGAAATTTCCAACTAAATACTCTATTGTTCCCACAACAATCTGCAAAGCATTCAACTGCATTCGACAAAAGATGAACAACAAGCAGCTCGTCGAATCATAATCCGTAAAACTTTGCTTTTTTTAAAAAATAAGCAGCGAAAAGGAAAAGAAAACTTTTCGAAAATGAGATTGAGATAGCTTTATGGAAGATGTTGTTGATGATGCTGCATTAAAATG